AGAACTGGCCGTAGATGACAATCGATGGCATCTGTAGAAAAAAGGCTGTCACAACAGTCACATCCGTCCGTCATTTTGCCATTGCTATTTTCCTCAGTCACCACGACTACCTCAAGGCGATGTTCATGCATTGGGTGCTGTAGACGTTGAATTTTTAATCAGACTAATTTCATCGATCATCCTCGAAGGCGAATGCATTTCCCGCCCGTGTCACCGGGCGCCTGGAATTTCTACGACGTCCTTAATTATGCCTTGATTGACGCGGCTTTCAGCCTTATTGTTCAGTTTCGTTGGCACTCGTCGCCATCGCATTGATTTCCACGTCAAACCGTAGTGTTAAAAAATGTTGGACACGATTTTGTCCTATTTGCAGCGCTTGTTCAGCCGACCAAGGGATGTCGGAGCTTCCGCTATTCCCTCACGGACGGCTATAAATAGTTCTATTATTGCTGACGGTGCTTCCATGGACCTGCTGCTTTTCTTGATGTGGTAATTCAGTGACAGCAACGATGTCGAGTTGTGCAAATTCCCTCAGCCTCAGTAGAATCTGCAGTTTGAGACCGATGCTGATGCATTATATATTATATATATGATTAAGTTTGTGGCTGGAAATTAATGTTCTCTATTTGAATGAATACCGAATCCATACCTTTCATATCCTGATCAGTTTACAATGACGGGTTTACAAACAAGACTGTTGTGATTATTCATATAAGAACTGATTACGTTATTCTTTCATTCATTTACTCTTTCGGTCCTTCAATCATTTGTCGAAACAACCAGCACTCACTGCTTCATTCGTTTGGTCAAACCCCGACTCATCCTTTCGTTCATTCATCCACAAACTAAATGACTCACTCATTCTCTCATTGCCTCATTCATTCATTCATTCATTTAGCCGTCACTCAGTGCTTCACTCACTCCCTCATCCATTTGTTCGTTCATTCACCCACTCGCCCAGTCATTCATTCATTCATTTAGACAAACACATTCATTCACCGTTCACTATTCGTTCGTATTAGAACTTTTCCCTTCGTTCCTACAATCATTCACTTTCATATCCCCTTACTTCTATTGACAGAGGACGATTCTAACTGAGTATGCTTTTCATTGACTGCAATTTTATGCAAATTTTAAGAACGACGGAATCTCAACGAACTGCAATCAAAGGAGGCACATGCAAAACGTTCAGTATGTCCAAACTGACTGGTGTGTGTGTGTGTGTCTTTGGTTGCATATCATGTAAATTTGTGATGAGGGAGCGCCTTATAAATGCCATCCTGGTAACAGACTACGCACACAAATAAGTGAGCATGTCGGTCGGTCAACTTGGAGAAGCGGCGAGATTCTTTAACCTCTGCCGGAACATTGTTTTAATGGCTCTTGTCCACGGTCGCTTCTTTCTTTCGATATATCAGTGAATTTCCAAGACCGTTTGTCCTTTCGGGTCGCGGAGGCAGACGCTTCAGACAGACAACCGGAGTCCAGGACAGAGTCCAGAGTTGACCAGAGTCCAGGACAGAGTCCTTCGATACTCTCGCACCAGGTTAATCTTGGCCGTCCCCTGGGCCTTTTGCCGGTCGGATTTGCAAGAAACAGTTGCTTAGCCTTCCTTTCTGGAGGCATTCGCAACACATGGCCATGCGATCGCAGCTGTGACTTTTCAGTCTGGAGAAGCAAAGGCTGTATACCAAGGCTCTTCCGGATGTCAGTATTCCGGACCATGTCGAGACGCGTAAGGACAGCCACCTCTCCGGGAGTCGAAGTTTTACCGTCATGGCCTATGACTCATGACCTCAGGTGAGCATCATTCTTTGCAATCTTAAAATTCATCACTCGCAAATCACTCATGATACACATATGC